GCCAGGTGTGGTCAGGGACACCTGTAATCTCAGCTACGTGGGAGGGTGAGGCATGAGAACTGCTTGAACTCAGGAGGCAGAGGTTGCAGCGAGCCAAGACTGCCCCTGCACTCCAGCCTGGGCCACAAAGTGAACGTGTCTCAAAAAAAAGAAAATAGATTGGAAGGTCTACTACTTGTGAATGCTATACATTTTGACCCAGTTATTTACATTAGCTATTTGGCCATAATTTATATTTATGCATGGATACACAATTTTATTCTTTGAGCAATTCACCAGAAAAAAAATGTATTTATAATACCATAGCATACAACCTTACAAATATATCAAGTAACTGATATGTGTTATAGACTGTTCAGTAATTCTCTGATCACTTATAACTTGATTTATTATATCTAATTATCTGAATGAGTAGGCAGATGGCTTGGATAACAATGGCTCCTATTTACCTCCGCATGTTTTCTAGTACCCAGATGTAAAGCATTGAGTGTCTGCCTGAGAATATTATCTTAAGTTTCTTCATAAACCCATTCTTTCCTCATCTGGTTTATAGAATCATCTTCCATTAATACTGGGTTTATCCATTTGTTCTTATTTTAACATACACTGCAGGCACTTAGTAAATGTTTGCAGAGTGAGTGAACAGATTTGTCACTGCTTTAAAAATCCTCGCCTGTAAGAAACAACTTGCTGCAGTAATTAAAAGGAAAAACAGGCACACACACACACACACACACACACACACACACACAAATGACAAGCATTGTTACATTGTCAAATGACTCTTTACATTAATACGTGGGTGGTTTTGAAGAGTGATCTGCTACTGTTCATTATATATGCACCTGTACGTTCACACCAGAGACAAGTAGTTCCCCACAACTTTCACACAATTAACATAGTTCAAAATGTGCAAGTGTAAAACCCATTAGCAACCCTGAAAAAGTGGTAAACAAGAATTTCATTGCAAAATAAGAATTTTATATTTGCTTTTTCTCTTCAGTAAACATACCCACATAATTACATAGGCTTTCCCTCTCTATATGTGCCGAGATAAGCTTTAGAATTGTTGCAAATTAGTATATGTATTACAAATACAGGTGAGCCAGTGAACTCCATTTAAAAGCAACAAAGTTGTTGAAAAAGCTAGATTATTGGACAGTCTGGATCCATGTAAATTATATATACTATATAGTTAAACATAGCAGCAATGTTTTTTCTAAATTATAAAGAAATTACCTCTTCCAAAATGTCTAGTGAATTTGTTATTATTATCATCGCTGGGATAAAACTTGCACAACTCCTTCCCCACAATGCAGTCCCTTCTGTGCTTCTAAATCATGATTCTGTTTTCTTACATGCTACATGATGATGCAAACATGCTCCACTGAGGCCCAGAATTGTGTTTAATGGAGTGATTAGTGAGTGAATGATCTGCTCATGTGACAGCTGTGTGAAATGAGTCAGCAATCTCAGGCCAGTCCCTCAGGGACAGATGTTGAGATCACAAAACCACCACAGTGTTTAGAATCCTCATTATTCATTACTGCACAAAAGCAGATGACTAGATGGGCTGTAGGCATTCATCAGCCATCAGAACCACTTCATTCTATGGTCCCATTAGTTGAGGATGAAGGTGAAAACACATTAATATGGCAAATTCAGGGGAGCAAGGGGCCTTATTTGTGCCAAATTTGTTCTCAGTTAAATTAAAATGTTTCCATTTCTGGAATTAACAATATAGTGCCTTTAAAATATTATATACCCCCCAAGACAAAGTCCAAAATCTTTTAAGAAAACTGGAATTCAGTATCATCTGATTAGTCTTCATTTCATGAGTGTGTTTGTGTGACAACAGTCAGGCGAAATGGTGCGGTTTACCTGATCGTAAAGAGGCCAGGATTTCTGATTTCCCTGGGCTTCATGAAGTAAGGATTCCTGAATGGTTATCTTAATGTAAGTTCAGAGTCATGTGCTGGGAAAGCAGGCAAAGTTTGCCTTTGAGGGCAAATGTGGGGAGACTTAGCGTATCTAAGATTATCAATCCGACTTGAAGTATTCTAAGAATTTTATTTTATTTCTCTCTTTTTAAATTTTAACTTTTGTTTTAGATATGAGGGTACCTGTATAATTTTGTTACACAGGGGTATTGCACCCAGATCATGAGCATAGTACCCAATAGGTAGTTTTTCAACCCATACCTCCTTTCCTCCCTCTCCCCTCTAGTAGTCCAGTGTTTATTGTTCCCATGTTTATGTCCATGTGTGCTCAGTGTTTAGCTCCCACTTATAAGCAAGAATATGCAATATCTAATTTTCTGTTCCTGTGTTAATTCGTTTAGGATTGTGGCTCCAGCTGCATCCATGTGGCTGCAAAGGACATGATTTCATACTTTTTTATGGCTGTGTAGTATTCCATGGTATATATGTACAATATTTCTTTATCTGGTCTACCATTGATGGACACCTAGGTTGATTTCATGTCTTTGCTACTATGAATAGCATGACAATGAATATACAAATGCAAGTGGTTTTTGTTTTGTTTTGTTTTGTGTGTAGTGATCTGTTTTCCTTTGGATGTGTACCTAGTAAATGGGATTGCAGGGTCAAATGGTAGCTCTGTTTTAAGTTCTTTGAGAATCCATTGACTTTCACTGCTTTTCAAGAAAAATGGGTGTAAATAAACTGTTTAGTGGCTCATCACTTGATTTTAAGATATGCCCAAATCAATTCAACTCAAAAGTTTAACATGTAGAAGCTCTGTATTTTATATATGATAGCTTTCTGATGACATTTGATCACTTTGAGTTCAAAAAATAAAGTTATGAAATAGAGAAAAACACTTGGGATAAGGCATATTTAAGAACCTGCTTGGAAGTCTGGATGCCTCAGTACCTGTATGCTTTGGAGCACTTTCCATGTAAGAGAGAAGTGAGATGCTTGAAGCCTAATTCCTGTATCTCTTTCCTCTTCTACCCCGAAGAGGAGACTCACGTGGCATTTAGTTTCCTCTTGCTGCTCACACTGACCTGGAGCAAGACAGATGTGAAAGGAGAGTGGCAGAGTGGGAGAGCCAGGCAGAGCTCATTTGCATAGGCTTCTCCGTCACTCAGTCAGCTGCACAGCTTTCAGCCAGGAGCTGGTGGGCCTTTTTTTTTGTAACTGTGTCTGTAGAGGGATTACCCTGCCCATCAGCCCATGCAGTGGAATTGTTTACCTGGTCTCAGATCTATGTTCATGTGAGGGCATGCCTGGCTCAAAAAATCATTAATAATTTAGACTGGATCAGAACTTTAACAGCCAGCCAGCTTTTTCAGGCTTTTCTTCTTCTACCTGTTTTTCTCTCTTCTCTCCCCTTTTCCTTCTCTTCAAGCTATCTCAAAAGCAAAAATATCAGCAATAGTGGTATAGAAATCCACTCTGTACGTTTCAATTCCATTTACTCTCTAGGGAGCACAAATTTGGTAATCGATAAAGGCTTTAAGTGAGACAGATATGCTTTAGTGGATGTAATATGTGCCCAGAAAATTCCACATTCACATAGATGTGGTTAATTTTAGATCACTCATCATTACACACTTAGACTCACACCCACACACACTCACACTCACACAGAAAAAGAAAATAATTCAGATATTCCAAAATTCCTCCTTTATTATTTATGCAGGTTGATGATAACGACTTGTAACTGTCAGAACCCTTGGGGAGAGGGGTGGAGTGTCGTTCCTGAGTAATCCTAAGCAGACCTAAGTTGATGTTTTGTTCTGTATGGAAACTTTGAGACATGTTTTCAGCACAAAAAAAAAAAAAAAAAAATAGCTTTCAAAAACTTACGTCTTAAGAAACCATTCAACCAGCAGTGAAGTTGGTCTAATGTTTATATTGACCTGAGTACTTTTACTCGATGCATTTTGTTAGCTGTTCCAAGAAGCCTTGAACCATCGAGATAGGGTTAGTCTTTACAAGTCACATTTTCTGTGAAGTGGCTATTGGGGACAATCAGCTGTCAGATAAATGCTTCTAAAGGAAGAATTACTGTTTAAATGGATGTGCCTTCGCAAGCCTTGGAAGCCCCAGCTCCTGCTAATTTGAGAATGGAGCCCTCTAGTATTCTCTAAAGAAAGAAAGAAAAAAAAAAAAGTCTTTCAGGTTGATTTTAAATACATCTTTTTTTGGTATTTATTTAAAGGCATCTTTTTCATGAGGAAGTGGTAATAAAACTATAGGGAGTGAGTGATGTTTCATTATACCTTTTATGGCCTATTAATTTGTTACCATCTATACACCTTTGTTGATGAAATTTTAATTTTGCCCTTGCTCGAGCATATTGTAAGAATTGTATAAACTGCTGCTCCCTGTGCTGACAAAAAGGTCCTTTTAGAGTGAACAATTGGGAGCTCATTTTATTTCTAGAGCACATTTAAAATAACTTATGAATGAGAGTTGTCAGACATGAAATGCAGTATTAATTAAATCTTTTTCTAGTCTTTTTGCTTCTCCAGCTAAACCAACCCTTTAGAAAAATACACGGCCACCTTAATTATAGAGGAGAAGACAAAAAATATCCTTCACATTCCTGTGCCTGAATAAGAATAAGAACTCAATTCATCTAAATAATAACCCCATTAGCTGCTTAACTCAACAGTGCACATGGGAAAATTTTCAATCCACAATGTAAAAAGTGTTTATTGGGTGGATCATTTTCAAGGTTTTGTTCTTTTAATGTTCAAAATGATCATTTTAAGTAAATCTGATAGGTCATAACTAGTAGATTTAGAGCATTTATGACTTATGACAAAAGTTTTGTGTCATGTCAACTAATGAATTTTTCTTTTAATATCTAGCAACAATACCATTCAAAAATAGATGATCTGATCGACAACAGCGTAAAAGAAATCATTTCACTGTTAGTTTCCAAGGTAATGTATTGTTTATTCACCTTTTTAAATCAAATTGAAAAATAATTTTCAATGGATTTTTTTAAATGTCATGTGTTTAAATATCTAATTGAAAAAATATAGTTTAAAAGATTAATGCAGGGAAAATTAGAATTTTCAGGAAAGTTAGCAAAAAGGATTATGAACACTATGTCACCATTTGATTTTTTTTTTTTGGATATAATAAATTTTGGCTTTTCTTACCATTGTTGTCATTTTAAAACTAACTCTTCTTCCAGTAAAACCTTATTATGTTACATTCGTGTTCTTGTACTATTGAACTCCAGCAGATCTGAGTAGTCTTAAGTCCTTGAATTTAGCCCATCTGTGGTGATGATGGCACCAAGGCTCTGTATCTGGTCTTGGAGACAGACAGAGAAAGCTGGCAGGGTGACATCTGAGGTCCTCCATGCCCAGGAGTTTCCCAGGATTTCCAATTTGATGCTCAAAATACCTTTGACAAAAGCCATGATCTTTCACTGTATAAGTAGAGATGTAGCAATGGATGCATCATTAGTGATTAGATGGTTTAGATTCCAACTTAGGTATAACAGACGGTCATGGTTGGCATTTCAGATCAGGGGCTGATAAGGAAAGGAAGAGAGAACATGAGAGCACCAGGTTAAGAGGGCAAACAGAGAGAATGGGCGTCTCCTAGAGGCAATGTCCTATGAGGAGATAGATCCCACGCTCTCACAAGGCTTCATCAAAGAACCCCAAATCAGGCTTTGTAAAGTAACTGGAAGGATGACAAGAAGCAAAGGAAAAACCACCCTCAATTTAATAAACAGACAAAAGACATCCCATTTAGAAAAGAAAAAAAAAAAACAGAGATGTCCCGTAAACATGAAAAATGTTAATCCTCATTAATAATTTAAGAATACAAAGTAAGCTACAGTAATATACTATTTTTTTCTAGCAAATTAGCATAAATGCTTCTAAGGTAACACTCAGTTCTGGGTGAGGTGAGACACCTTTTATATATTGGGGAGTATAAATTGTTATAGTCTTTCTGGAAAATAGTTTGGAAATACATCAAATACATTAATACCTTTTCACCTTTTTTTATCTTGTCATATGATTAAACACAAAAAATATGTATTTGTTAATATTTGTCACATTATACCTAACCAAAATTTGGAAACAACCTTAAATTCTAATGAAGGAAAAGGTAAAGTAAATTGTGGAACGTCTGTATTAAGAAATTATACTCTCAAAGACAATGATAAAGGAAGAGTTTCATAATATAGTATTAAATGAAAACAGCTGAATATTTAAAAGTATAAAATATAAACTGAATTTGAATCTTGCAGGAAAAAGGCTGCTAAGATAAACACTAGAATGGTAACATAGCTTTTCTTTGGGTAATGGGAGTATAGTTCATTTTTTATTTCATCTTCAATTTATTTGTTTGTATTTTTCAAATTATCTGGTGGCATGTCCTAGAGTGGAAAACAACCACGACGACAGTGTTAGAATGAAATCATCTCACCAGCTTGTTTTTGTTCTCCTGATTTTTACCACTGTACCAAATATCTACATATGCACGCATCTCACACACTCACCAGCAAGTGGATGGGAAAAGAATAATAGGAACACCATGGAGGGAAGGCGTGAACCGCTGGAGAATCAAGGTCTTTGAGGAAGAGCAGTGAGATTTCCACCCTCTGAGGAGCCCAGCACAGCAGCTTGCATCACCACATAGTCAACCCACTACAGTGAAATAAAGTTAACTTTGCACCATCTTCTCTGTGAGGCCTTCAGGGAAATGTTATTCAGATAGAACCACCCTGTGAACATAGTCCTCATGTAGAAGTTGCCTTTTGTGGAAAGTTTTTATAATCGGCATCTTTGACACCCTTGTCAAAGATTATATACTAGCATATAGATGATACAGGATTAATCAGGCAGCAAGAGGAAAAGTCCAAGCTTTTCTTTGGAGTTGGAAGGAAGAGTAGAGAGAAGGCAGATGGGACTGTACGTCATCTCTGCATCTATTTCTGGCAAAGTATGACACTTAAATTTTTCTATATCAAATACATCTGGTTAGTTTTTAAAATAGTCTATTTGAGCTAAGTAAGGAAAAGATGTTCTGAAATATCCTCACAGTCCACCAGTAGCTACTAGCCACATGTGATTGTGGAGGATTGGATTGTGGCTAGTGAAGCTGAGAAATTAAATTTTTAAGTTAATTTAATTTTGATTAAAAGAGCCTCGTGTAATACTGGCTATTACATTTAGAAATCAGGACTAGATTATGGTTTTCCTCTGTGCCTCATTTCTCCTCCTGTCAAAGCATGCTTATTATCTTTAATTCTTTGGCTGAAAAGTGTAAAATAAGTTAACTTGATAGGTTGAATGAAACATCTCAAAGATGATAGTAATTGATGTTTTTTAAAAAGATGTTTCAAATTAATCTCCATAATTATGATATTTTAAAAACCATTTTATTGAGATATGATTAATGTACAAAAAATGTGTACATGTTTAACATATACAAGATGAGTTTGGAGATAAGTATACAACCATAAAAGTATACAACCATGAAACCATCACCTCAATCAGTACCATAAACTTATCCATCACCTCCCAAAGTTTCCTCCAGCCCTCTTAAATAATTATTTCTGTGTGTGATAACAGTCACATAAGATCAATCCTCTTAGCAAATAGTATTGCTTCTATAGGCGTTATGCCGTGCAGTAGCTCTCTAGAATTTTTCATCATGCATAACTGAAACTGCTCTTTGGCAGATATCTCCCCATATCTCCCTTCCCTCAGCCCCTGAGAAACCAACATTCTATCCTCTGTTTCTATTATTTTGATTATTTTAAATTTCTCATGTAATTGGTACTATGTAATATTTAGTCTTCTGTGTCTGCTTATTTCAAAGAGCATAATATACTCTAGGTTTATCTGTTTATCTCAAATGGAAGGATTTCCTTCTTTTTTTGAGGCTGAATAATATTTCATTGTAGCATGTAACTCATTTTCATTATCCATTCACCTGTCTGGTGGATATTAAAGTTGCTTCCAAGTCTTGCCTATTGAGAAGAATGCTGCAAAGAAATGAGAGTGCAGATATTTCTTCAATATACGAATTTCATTTCCTTTGGATATATACCCATTAGTAAGATTGCTAGATCATATGGTAGTTCTATTTTTCATGTTTTGAGGATCCTCCATGCTATTTCCCATAGTGGCTGCACCACTTTATATATCCACCAACAGCGGTCATTTTCTCCACATTCTCAGCGCTGTCCAAACAGATGCCAGCTAATATCTCAGTGTGGTTTTGATTTGCATTTCTCCGAAGATTAGTGATATTAAGCTCCTTTTTATATATCTATTGGCCATTTATATGTGTTTATTAGAGACATAGTGCTTTGCTCATTGTTCATAGAGACATAGTGCTTTGCTCATTTTTTTAAACTTTAATTTTTTTTTTTTTTGCTTTGAGTTTTAGGAGTTTCTTATATATTTTAGATATTAACTCCTTATCAGACAAATAGTTTGTAAACATTTCCTCCCATTTTGTAGGTTGCCTTTTTATTACGTTGATTATTTCCCTTGCTGTGCAACAGCTGTTTTACTTGATATAATCTCATTTTTTCAAAAAGATTTCTTGCCTGTACTTTTTGCATTGTAGCGAACAATCATTGCTAGGGCCAGTGTTTTCTTCTAGAAGTTTCATGGTTTGGGGTCTTAAGTTATTTAATCCATTTTTACTTGATGGTATTTAGTTGATGATTTTGTCGATCCATTTGTTTATGGTGTAAGAAAAGGGTCAAATTTTATCCTTTTGTAGGTGTACATCCACTTTTCCCAGCACTATTTATTGAACAAACCATCCTTTTCTGTTCACACCCTTGTCAAAGATCAGTTGACTATATGTGTGTGGGTTTGTTTCTGAGCTCTCTATTTTGTACTGTTTGCCTATTCATCTGCTTTTATGGCAGTAACATTATGTTTTGATTATTTTAGCTTTGTAATGGATTTTGAAATAAGGAAGTGTTATGCCTCCAGTTTATTCTTTCGATCAGAATTGTTTTAGTTATTTCAAGTTTTTTGTGGTTCCAGATTAATTTTAGGATTGCTTTTTCTATTACTGTAGAAAAAAATGCCACTGAGATTTTTATAGAGATTACATTAAATAAATAGATCCTTTTGAGTAGTATGAACATTTTAACTATAACAATTATTGTAATTCATGAACATGGGATTTTTTTTAAATTTATTTGTTTTCTGCTGTAATTCCTTCAGTGTTTTATACTTTTCAGTGTACAAGGTTTTCACTTTCTTGGTTAAATATATTTCTAAGTACTGCATTCTTTTTGATGCTATTATAAATGGGATTATTTTCTTAATTTCCTTTCCATATAGTTACTTGTTAGTGTACAGAAATATGAATGATTTTTGTATGTGGATATTTTTTCTGCAATGTTACTGAATTTGTTTATTCTAACAGTTCTTTTTTGTAGACTCTTTAGGGTTTTCGGTATATTAAGATCACGTCATCTGCAAATAGAGATAATTTTACTTGTTATTTCCTGATTTGCATGGCTTATGTTTCTTTTCTTTTTCTTTTTTATTTATTTTTATTTTTTGTCTGCTTACTCTGGCTAGGACTTCCAGTACTATGTTGAATAGAAGTGGCAGAAGTGGGCATCCTTGCCTTCCACTGTATCTTAGAGGAAAAAAAATTGTTTTTTTACCATTGAGTATGATATCAACTGTGAATTTTTCATATGTAGCCTTTATTATGTTGAGGTAATTTTATTCTATTTCTAATATTTTGAATGCTTTTTATCATGAAACATTACTGAGATGTGTCCAGTAGTTTTCAGCCTCTATTGAGATGATCTTGTGATTTTTATCCTTCATTCTATTAATGTGGTGTATCATAGCAATTGACTTGCTTATATTCAAAAATCCTTGGATCCTAAGGATAAATCTCACTTCGTGATGGGGTATGATTTTTAATATGCTGATGAATTAAATTTGCTGATATTTTGTTAAAGATTTTTGTATCCATGTTTATCTTGGCTTGTAGTTTTCTTTTCTGGCAGTATCTTTTGTCTGGCTTTGGTATTAGGGTGATGCTGGCCTCATAGAATACGTTTGGAAATGTTCCCTCTTCTTTGTTTTTGGTAGAGCTTAAGAGAATTGGCATTAATTCTTTTTTAAATGTTTGATGGAATTCACTTCATTAAATGTTTGGTAGAATTAACTTTTGAAGCCATTTCTTTGTTGTGAGGTGTTTGAATACAGATTCAGTCTCCTTATTGGTTATTGGTCAGCTTTGTTTTATTCTTTCGATGGTGTCGTGTTTCCCTGATTCTTCATGATCCCTGTGGCCTTACATTGGTATCTGTACTTTTGTGGAAACAGTGACATCTTTCACTATTTACAGTTTGACTTCAGCAGGAAAATCCCTTCATCACTCAACCCAGCTAGAGATTTTGTGTGGGCCAGCTGTTAGGGCTTGTGAGTAGGCCTGCTGCCACGCTCCAGAGGCAGGATAAATTGTGGTTTTATTTCATTAAGAAAAACTAAAACATCTTGGAAGGCAATGACTCTTAAATGTTAGCACACATGAAAAAAATTAAGAGCTATTAAAATGCAGGAGGCGGAGGCTGCAGTAGGCTGAGATTAAAAAAAAAGTGAGGGTGTGCCAAGATGGCTCAGAGGACACAACACCAGAATGCAGCTCCCAGCAAATGAGATGCAGAGGGCTAGAGGATTTCATGATTCCAAGCAAAGTGTTGGTTTCATTTCAGTGGGACTGGTAGGTCACTGAAAATAGCCCAGGGAAGGCAAGCCAAAGCCAAACTGGGCAAGAGCAGCCCAGGGAGGGCTAACAGAGACAGGGCAGGGTGTGTCCCCACCTGGAATGTGTAGCCAGCTTGGAGGGTCAGGGACTTCACCCCCTCAGTGCTCCTATTAGGATCCTGTGCTTACCTCATCCCTCCTGCAATCCACGGTCCACAAGAGCCCCACTGGACTGAGGGGCACCATGGGTTGTTTATGCAAATCTGAGCGATAGCTCCTGCCTCATGCTGCAAGTTGTTGGCACGGACCTTGTTGAACTAAGACCAGAAGGACAGAACCACCTGTCCCATAGAAAGAGGCAGAGTTGAAAGAGGGGAAACAGGCCACAAGGCCTGGCAGGCCCCACCCCCACAAAACTCAAACTGAAGCCAGTGTGCTAGAGAGCTCCACAGCAAATATACCAGTTTGACCCCAACAAGGAAGATCAAGCTCTGGGAAGGAGGGACGCCATTGTGAAGGCAGGGCTAATCTCACCTCACCTGTGTAAACAAATTGGGTAGGGGGGGCGGGAGACCACCCAGTCAACAGCCTGACTGAATCCAAGACAGCCCAGCAACACCTCTACAGGCCAAAAAAGATTACAGCTCCAACCTCAACAGAAAGGGAGTCCACTCAGAGATTCCTCCCGAAATCACCAACTTCAAAGATGAAAGCAAGATAATTCCACCAAGATGGGAAGAAACCAGTGCAAAAAGGATGAAACCATCAAAGACCAGAACACCTCTTCGGCTCCCAGAGATCACAACTCCTCATCATCAAGGGAACAAAACAAGATGGAGAATGGGTTTGACAAATTGACAGAAGCAGGCTTTCAGAAGGTGGGTAAAACAAACTTCTCTGAGTTAAAAGACCATATTCTAACCCAGTGCAAAGAAACTAAGAACATTGAAAAAAGGTTAGATGAAATGCTAACTAGAATAACCAGCTTAGAAAAGAACATAAACGACTTAATGGAGCTGAAAAACACAGCATGAGAACTTCACAAGACATACACAAGTTTCCACAGTGGAATCAATCAAGCAGAAGAAAGGATATCAGAGATTGAAGATCAAATCAATGAAATAAAATGAGAAGGCAAGATTAGAGAAAAAAGAGTGAAAAGAAATGAACAAAGCCTCCAAGAACTATTGGATTATGGGAAAAGACCTAATCTACCCTTGATCAGCATACCTGAATGTGAAGGGGAGAATGAATCCAAGCTGGAAGACACGTTTCAGGATATTTTTCAAGAGAACTTCCCCAACCTAACAAGACAGGCCAACATTCAAATCCAGGAAATACAGAGAACACCACAAAGATACTCCTCAAGAAGAGCAACCCCAAGACACATAATTATCAGATTCACCAGGGTTAAAATGAAGGGAAAAATGCTAAGGGCAGACATAGAGAAAGGTTAAGTCACCACAAAGGAAAGATCATCAGACTCACAGCAGGTCTCTCAGCAGAAACTCTATAAGCTAAAAGGGAGTGGGGGTCAATATTGAACATCCTTAAGGAAAGAACTTTCAATTCAGAATTTCCTATCCAGCCAAACTAAGCTTCATAAGTGTAGGAGAAATAAAATCCTTTACAGAGATGCAATTGCTGAGAGATTTTGTCACTACAAGACCTGCCTTACAAGAGCACCTGAAGGAAGTACTAAACATGGAAAGGGACAACCAGTACGAGCCACTGAAAAAATGTACCAAATGGTAAGAACAATGATGAAATGAAGAAGCTGCATCAACTAACAGGCAAAACAACCAGCCAGTAACAAAATGCCAGGATCAAATTTAAACATAACACTATTAATGTTGAATGTAAATGGCCTAAATGCCCCCAATCAAAAGACACAGACTGGCAAACTGGATAAAAAGTCAAAACCCATCGGTTTGCTGTATTCAGGAAACCCATCTCAATTGCAGAGACTCACATAGACTCAAAATAAAGGGATGGAAGATTTACCAAATGGAGAGCAAAAGCAGGAGTAGCAATCCTAGTCTCTGATAAAATGGACTTTGAACCAACAAAGATCAAAAGAGACAAAGAAGAGCATTACATAATAGTTAAAGGATCAATGCAACAATTAGAGCTAACTATCCTAAATATAAATGCACCCAATACAGGAGCACCTAGATATATAAAGCAAGTTCTTAATGACCTACAAAGAGACTTAGACTCCCACACAATAATAGTGGGAGACTTTAACACTCCACTGGCAATATTGGACAGATCAACAAGACAGAAAGTCAAATAGGATATCCAGGACTTGAACACAGATCTGGACCAAGCAGACCTAATAGATATTTACAGAACACTCCACCCCAAATCCACAGAACACACATTCTTCTTAGCATCACATCACATTTACTCTAAAATTGACCACATAATTGGAAGTGAATCACTCCTGAACGATGCAAAAGAATGGAAATCATAACAAACAGTCTCTCAGACCATGACACAATCAAATTAGAACTCAGGATTAAGAAAAGCACTTAAAACCACACAGTCACATGGAAACTGAACAACTTGCTCCTGAATGATGAATGGATAAACAACAAAATGAAGGCAGAAATAAAAATGTTCTTCGAAATCAATGAGAACTAAGATGCAACAAACCAGAATCTATGGGACACATTTAAACAGTGTCTAGAGGGAAATTTATAGCAATAAATGCCCACATGAGAAACAAGGAAACATCTAAAATCGATACTCTATCATCAAAATTGAAAGGGCTAGAGGAGCAAGATCAAAAAAACTCAAAAGCAAGTAGAAGAAAAGAAATAACTAAGATCAGAGCAGAACTGAAGGAGATAGAGAAACCAAAAAGCCTTCAAAAAATTAATAAATTCAGGTAGCTGGTTTTATTGAAAAGATCCACAAAATAGACCGCTAACTAAACTAATAAGAAAAGAGGGAAGAATTGAATAGATGCAATAAAAAACCATACAGCAGAGATCTTGACAAGTTCCTCAGAAATACAAACTACCATCAAAGATTGCTACAAACTGCTCTATGAACATAAACCAGTAAATCTTGAAGAAATGAATAAATTCCTGGACATTTGTATACTCCCAAGACTAAGCCAGAAAGAAGTTGAAACCCTGAATATTCCAATAGCAAGGTCTGAAGTCGAGGCAGCAATTAAGAGTCTACCAATCAAAAAAAGTCCAGATGGATTCACAGGTGAATTCCACCAAATGTAGAAAGAGGAGCTGGTACCATTCCTGTTGAAACTATTCTAAACAGTATAAAAAGAGGGAATCCTTCCCAAATCATTTTATGAGATCAACATCATCCTGATACCAAAACCTTGCAGAGACACAACTGAAAAAGAAAACTACAGGCCAATGTCCATGACAAACACAGATGCAAAAATCTTCAGTAAAATACTGGCAAACTGAATCCAACAGCACATCAAAAAGCTTATCCACCACAATCAAGTAGGCTTTATCCCTGGGATGCAAAGCTGGCTCAACATACGCAAAGCTGTAAATGTAATCCACCACATAAACAGAACCAAAACCTAAAACCACATGATAATCTCAATAGATGCAAAGAAGGCATTTGACAAAATTCAACAGCCCTTCATGCTGAAAACTCTCAGTAAACTAGGTATTGATAGAACATATCTCAAAATAATAAAAGCTATTTATGAGAAACCCACAGCCAATATTATACTGAATGGGCAAAAACTAGAAGCATTCCCGTAAAAAACTGGCACTAGACAAGGATGCCCTCTCTCACCACTCCTATTCAATATAGTATTGGAAGTTCTAGCCATAGCAATTAGGCAATAAAAAGAAATAAGGGGCATTCAATTAGGAAAAAAAGAAGTCAAATTGTCCCTATTTGTAGACGACATGATCATATATTTAGAAGATCCCATCATCTCAGCCCAAAACCTCCTTAAGCTGATAAGCAACTTTGGCAAAGTCTCAGAATATAAAATGAGTGTTCAGAAATCACAAGCATTCCTATACACCAACAACAGACAAACAGAGAGCCAAATCATGAGTGAACTGCCATTTACAATTGCTGTAAAGAGAATATAATACCTAGGAATAAAACTAACGAAGGATGTAAAAGATCTCTTCAAGGAGAACTACAAACCACTGATCAAGAAAATAAGAAAGGACAAAAATAGATGGAAAAACATTCCATGCTAATGATTAGGAAGAATCAAGATTGTGAAAATGGCCATACTGCCCAAAGTAATTTACAGATTCAGTGCTATCCCCATCAAGCTACCATTGATCTTCTTCACAGAGCTGGAAAAAAACACCAAACTTCATATGGAACCAAAAGAGAGCCCGCATAGCCAAGACAATCCTAAGCAAAAAGAACAAAGCTGGAGGCATCATGCTACCTGACTTCAAACTATATTACAAGGCTATAGTAATCAAAACAGCATGGTACTGGTACTAAAACAGAGATATAGACCTATGGAACAGAAGAGAGGCCTCAGAAGCAACTCCACACATCTACAACCATCTGATCTTTCACAAACCAGACAAATACAAGCAATGGGGAAAGGATTTCCTTTTTAATAAACGGTGATGAGAAAACTGGCTAGGCAAATGCAGGAAGCTGACACTGGATGCCTTCCTGACACCTTACACTAAAATTAACTCTAGATGAATTAAAGATTTAAACATAAGAACTAAAACTATAAAAACCCTAGAAGAAAATCTAGGCAACACCATTCAGGATATAGGCATGGGCAAGGACTTCATGACTAAAATGCCAAAAGCAATGGCAACAAAAGCCAGAATAGACAAATGGGATCTAATTAAACTTAAGAGTTTCCGAACAGCAAAAGAAACAATCATTAGAGTGAACCAGCAACCAACAGATTGGGAAAATAGTTTTGCAATCTACTCATCTGACAAAGGGCTAATATCCAGAATCTACAAAGAATTAAAACAGATTTACAAGAAAACAACAGACCCATTCAAAAGTGGGCAAAGGATATGAACGGACACTTTTCAAAATAAGACATTTATGTGGCCAAGGAACATGAACAAATGCTCATCATCATTGGTCATTAGAGAAATGCAAGTCAAAACTACACTGAGATACCATCTCATGCCAAGTTAGAATGCAATCATTAAAAAATCTGGAGACAACAGATGCTGGAGAGGATATGGCAGTACTAATCACCCCATTGTAAAATCTCCTCCCTATCTTTCAAGAATCTGCTCAAGCACTTCACCACAAGAGGACATCAGGACCTTGAGTCAGTCTCCTAACACTCCCTTTTCTGCCTCTCTCCATTCTCACTGGCACTACTAGTCTTCCAGGTCCTCATTGCTTCCCCATTTAGATTCTTGCCTCACTGATCTCCACCATGGTGCCCCACTTCACCCTTGATATGGTTTGGCTGTTTCCACCCAAACTCTCATCTTGAATTATACTCTCCATAAATCCCCATGTGTCAAGGGTGGAGCAGGTGGAGGTAATTGTATCATGGGAGTGGTTTTCCCCATCCTATTCTCATGATAGTGAGTCTCATAAGATCTTATGGTTTTATAAGCATCTGGCAGTTCCCCTGCTTGCACTCATTCCATCCTGATGCCTTGGGAAGAAGATGCCTGCTTTTCCTTTGCCTTCTGCCATGGTTGTAAGTTTCCTGAGGCTTTCCCAGCAATGCAGAACTGTGAGTCAATTAAACCTCTTGTCATTATAAATTACCCAGTCTCGGGTGTTTCTTCATAGCAGTGTGAGAACAGGACTAAGACAACCCTGAAGCCAGAGCATCTTTCCAAAATACAGATTTGATCATTTCTTGCCAATGCTTCATATAGTGTAGGCATTCCTTACTCCTTGTGCCCTCATTTCCTAAATTGGGTCTCAGGGAATCTTGTACTCGAGTTTTGTTGATGTCCCATGAGAAGAGGTTGCTAACCCATTTGGAGAACACTGTATTCCTTGAAATTCAGGATGAGGTAGTGTTTCAGTGTGCAGTAATTTTATACTGAACCTGTCCTGGGGCCCTTTATTCCAGAATTCCTAATATCTTGCAGGAATTAATATTCCGTAGAATATAGTTTGTGAAAGGTTGACCCACAAGAAAATCTTTTTAGCATCACCTACAAGTCCCTTCACAGTATAATTACTCTTATCTCTACATCACTCTCCCCCACATCTTAAACTGTAGCCATTCCAGAGTTCTATTGGTTTCACGGTTTTTCAGAACACTGTGCCTTTTCACATTCTGCCCCCTGCATGAAGAGCCCTTTTTTCTTTCTTCTTATAATTCAACTAGAAAAGTCTTGGTTTGCTCTCCTTTCCAGAAGACATCTCGCCCTCCTAAGCAAATTTAGCCCTCTCCTCACCCAGTGCCCTCTGTGTCCACTGTCGCTGCCATTTTTTCATGGTTTCATGTGTCTCTGAATCCTCTTTATCTATTATTATTTCTACATGCTTGTCATATAACCCAATGAGTAATTGCTGAATAAGTGACATTAAGAAAAGATGAAAGTAAATCTGGAAAATGCTGAAGAAATGTGCTCTGGCATCAATACTCCAATTCTGTTCTCTAACCTACAACATAGAATAAAGCACTTTACATAAAATTATATAATGTACTGTGACTCTGCCCTAATGAAAAAGGGCAATATTTATTTTTTAAAGGGATTGAAATTCAGAGCCATGAGGCAGCGTAAAGTTTCAGAATGTGGCTCTGTGCCAGAAAGTGTGCCCAATGCCAGGGATACAGCGCTAAGCAAAACAAATGAGGTCCCTGCCCTCAAGGAGCTTGCTAACCCTTGGAGGAGACACACTAACAACCATAAAATGCAACCCACACAAATGTGTCAGGTAGGATAATCTGTGATAGAGTGACTTATTTAGTCAGGGAGGACAGGAACATTTTTCCCAAACAAGTGAAGCTTGAGCTGAGTTCCTAAGAATGAAAGAGATAACCCGGATAAGAGAGATAAAAGGACCATTTAAGGAGCAAGACAAGGCTGCAGAAGTGAGCAGAAACTTGTAGGAAGTACTAAGGAGCTTAAAGTCTTTATCCCAAGAGCAGTGGGAAGTCACAGAAAGGTTGGAGAGCATGGGTAGGGACTTAATCAGATTTGCATTATAAGAAGATTCATCTGACTGCCTGTAGGAAACAGATTGGAGAGGGGATAGTCTAGAAGCTGTTACTTGGTCTTTGGTGAACTAATACAAAGACATTTAAGATGTATAATGGAGAGAAAGGGAAATAGTAAGGAGTACTCTTAGGTTTATTGCCTGAATGTTAGTATCATTTTTAGATTCAGGGTGTCCTGAAGAGAAACAGATTTGGAGAGAGAGACCATAATGACAGTATTGGACATGTTGAGATTGAGCTGCTTTTGAGACATCCTAGGGAGGAGACGTCAAGGAAGACATTTGGCTATTTGGGTCTGGAGCTCAGATGAGGGATATAGGGTAAAAATATTGGTGTGATTGTAAGATTTCAGCAATTGAAAATGATACTGTATCAGCAACAACTGTTCTCAGGCCAAGGTACTGTAACGGGAACACCTATGGAAAAAAGGGAAGGTAACCTTAAAAGAAAGGGGAAAAAAGCAAAAATTCTAGCCAGAAAAACCTTCAATAATTTTTACCAAGGGGAAAAAAATAGGAGCATTAAATCTTACCAAGGAAAGGGGACAAGAAATGTCATATTTATTGCTACTTTATGTTAAAATTAAACCAACCAAAGTGTGGGATCATCAGAAAAACTGGGTTCTAGTCCCATTTTCTCATGTTACCAGCTGGATCTCCTCACATGAATCATTTTCCTGATCAAAAAAGTGGGTGTATTGGTTTTTTAAAAAACTAACAGCCTTTTCTCAGTCTAGAACAAAAGTCCTATGCACATCTTTGCAGGGAGCCTGCTGGTAGCCTGCATCTGTTGTCTCCAGGTTCTAGAAACTCATAGCATATGGAATGCTGGAGTTAGAAGAGTCCTGAGGTCATCTACTAGGGACTTTTCAAACTTTTTTGTAAAGTTTTTAAGAGATACTTTTACATGCTTTAAAAATGTTTATAAAATATATTAATGTCTCAAATAAATCTTAGCACTGCAAAATATAACACCAGTCAAAGTAAAGTGTTAATATCAGTCTGATTAAGAAGGGAAGGGAGCCCTGGGGCCCTACCTGGGTGGCCTCACCTTTCAAGGCCAGACTAGTCACCAGTCCAGTCTCCCCATTCACAGCTGAAGAAACAGAGGCCCGAGGCCACACAATAGATGTCAGCAGAGCCAGGATTTGGCCCCTGTGGTCCCTAAGCCTATAATCTCTCCACAACACCATGCAGAATCAGCAAGACTAGGGAGGGGAAAAGTGGCAGCTTCACCCTCCAGCCCTCTTGTGTCTCTATAATATCTGGATTGTTCCAGCCAGCCTGCAGGTCCCTCCATGCAGGTATGCATTCTGTGGGACCGGCTAATAGAGTCCATCTAATTAGAGTAGCTATGTGGGGTAACTCTAAGGTAGATGAAAATGGGATACATTATATATAGTGATGAAGATGACAAGGCTGGGTGCAGTGGCTCACACCTGTAATCCCAGTACTTTGGGAGGCTGAGTTGGGCAGATCACTTGAAGTCAGGAATTGGAGACCAGCCTAGCCAACATGGTGAAACCCTGTAAGATAACTGAATTATTCAGGTGGGCCCAATGTAATCACAAGGTCTGTAAAAGGGGAAAGAGGTAGCAAAAGTGAAGAGCCGGAGAAAAAGATGAGATGCACTGGGTGCGGTGGCTCACACCTGTAATCCCAGCACTTTGGGAGGCCAAAGCAGGTAGATCATGATGTCAAGAATTCAAGACCAGTCTGGCCAATATGGTGAAACCCCATCTCTATTAAAAAGCACAAAAATTGGCTGGGCGTGGTGGCATGTGCCTGTAGTCCCAGTCACTTGGGAGGCTAAGGTAGAAGAGTTGCTTGAACCTGGTGGCAGAGGCTGATGTGAGCTGAAATCACTCCACTGCACTCCAGCCTGGGCAACAGAGTAAGACTCTGTCTCAAAAAAAAAAAAAGAAGAAGATGATGATTAGATGGTAAAAGCAGCGTTAGAGACATGCTATGTTGCCAGCTTTGAGGATGGAGGACAGAGACCATGAACCATGAAATGCAGGCAAGAAATTAGAAAAGTCGACGGTTCTGGGCAGGGGTCTGGGGAGCGCAGCAGCAATGGCGGGCCACCTTGTGCTCTACAACGGCGCCAAGATGCCCATCCTTGGGCTGGGCACCTGGAAGTCCCCTCCAGGCCAAGTGACCGAGGCTGTGAAGGTAGCCATCGATGTTGGGTACCGCCACATCGACTGTGCCCATGTGTACTACAATGAGAATGAGGTGGGGGTAGCCATTCAGGAGAAGCTCAAGGAGCAGGTGGTGAAGTGTGAGGAGCTGTTCATCGTCAGCAAGCTGTGGTGCACGTAACTTGAGAAGGGCCTGGTGAAAGGAGCCTGCCCGAAGACGATCAGCGACCTGAAGCTGGACTACCTGGACCTCTACCTTATTCACTAGCCAACTGGCTTTAAGCCTGGGAAGGAATTTTTCCGGTTGGATGAGTCAGGCAACGTGATTCCCAGTGACACCAACATTCTGGACACGTGGGCGGCCATGGAAGAACTGGTGGATGAAGGGCTGGTGAAAGCTATTGGCATCTCCAACTTCAACCATCTCCAGGTGGAGAGGATCTTAAACAATCCTGGCTTAAAGTATAAGCCTGCAGTTAACCAGATTGAGTGCCACCCATACCTCACTCAGGAGAAGTTAATTCAGTACTGCCAGTCTAAAGGCATCGTGGTGACGGCCTACAGCCCCCTAGGCTCTCCCGACAGGCCCTGGGCCAAGCCCGAGGACCCTTCCCTCCTGGAGGATCCCAGGATCAAGGCGATCGCAGACAAGCACAATAAAACCACAGCTCAGGTGCTGATCCGGTTCCCCATGCAGAGGAACTTGGTGGCGATCCCGAAGTCTGTGACACCAGAACGCATTGCTGAGAACTTTAAGGTCTTTGACTTTGAACTGAGGAGCAAGGATATGACCACCTTACTCGGCTACAACAGGAACTGGAGGGTCTGTGCCTTGATGAGTGCTGTCTCCCACAAGGATTACCCCTTCCATGAAGAGTTTTGAAGCTGTGGATGCCTGCTCATCCCTAAGTGACCTATACCTGTGTTTCCTGCCTCATTTTTTTCCTTGCAAATGTAGTATAGCCTGTGTCATTCAGCAGTGGGACAGCGGCTTAGAGAGTGGCCCAGCGAGAGCGTGTCTGGCTTGATGCTGGATCTGACGAGGCCTGCCCGTAGAGTAGAAGTCTCTTCCAGTTTGCTTTGCCCTTCTCTTTGCCCCACTGGGGAAAGTACAACCTGAATACCCTTTCTCACCAAAGAGAAGCAAAATCTGCCAAGTCAAAATGGTGCCACTAACAGCTGAGTTTTGACTGCTTGGAACTGTAATCCTTTCAGTAAGACTTCTCTTTGCCTCAAATAAAAAGTGCTTTTGTGAGTTGAAAAAAAAAAAAAAAGAAAAGAAATTAGTAAAGTCAAGAAAACGAATTCTGCCCTAGAGTCTCCAGAAAGGAACTCAACCTTATTGACACTTTGATTTTAGCCCAGTGAAGCCTTTGTTGGACTTCTGAACTACGGAACTAAACCGTAATAAACATTTGTTGTTTTAAGCCAAAAAAAAAGAAAACATTAGCTCAGAGCAGTGGAGCACACTTATAATCCTAGATACTCAGGAGGCTGAGGCAGGAGAATAATTTGAACCCAGGAGGCAGAGGTTGCAGTGAGCCGAGATCACATCATTGTACTGCAGCCTGGGTGATGAAGTGAGACTGTCGCAAAAAAAAAAAAAAAAAAAAGGCCAAAAAAAAAACTGGGGGAGGGCCGAGAGTAAAAATATGGTTAACAGCCAAGAGTAAAAAAAATGACAACTCTCAGAAAGCACTCTTGATCAATTCTGGGTATGAATTAAGAGATCATAATGCCCAACTTCCTAGATTCTCAGTTATTGCAAAAAAAAATGATTTAGGAAAGAATATACACTTCCCCCCCAACTATATTGACACAGATATACGGATGTATACACACACACACACACACACACACACACTCTCTCTCTCTCTCTCTCTCTCTCTCTCTCTCTCACTCTCTTTCTCTCTCTTTCTCTTTCTGGTAACTTAGAATATTTTCCCTAAATTTCTCTTAAAAGTAGGTTAGATAGAAGACAAATCTAATCTGACTGCCTAGACTATATAAGTAAAATTTCCTGTTAACTTAACCTGGTGAAGTTAATTTCATTAAATTTGTTCAATTTAATTGTTTGGATCAAGGCCATATATTCAGAAGGCACCTGTTCAAACCCAAGTATGTGCCCAGAAGGAATAGCATAATATAATACTAAGAGCCTTTGGCAAAGAGAGAATGCAATAAAATAGTCCACTTTATTTATGCGGGCAAGAAGAAAAGGAACAGTGTGAGAAAACAGTGTGGTAAATTCACCAACATCTGGTCTAGGTATGTTGTTTTAGAAGTTGTCCTAGCTACTTTGCAGAATAAGCTACATTGTGAATAAATACATGCTGTCAAACACTCCCTCTTTCCCATAGATGTGTAGGATTCTGGTAAAACCTTTTAGGAGTCTGTTGGAACAAAGCTTCAAAAAAGTAGTTTCACAGCTGGATTCACAGAAAGAGGATGGGAAAGAGAAAATTATATCATATTTTTATATTAGTATACATTAACATTCTGATTTGGGGAAGATAACTTATTTTCTCCTAGTTTATGACATTCTGATTCTATCTTCACTTTTTTTTTAGAATATGTTATCAAAGCATGTTTATTTTTAATTTTAAAAAGTTTTTTAATGTAGATTAAGGGGGGTACGTGTGCAGATTTTTTAATTGAATTTTAGGCTTTGGGGTACATGTGAAGAACATGCAAGATTGTTGCATAGGTACACACATGGCAGTGTGATTTGCTGCCTTCCTCCCTGTCACCTATATCTGGCATTTCTCGCCATGCTATCTCTCCCCAACTCCCCAGCCCCCACTGTCCCTCTCCTATTTCCCCCCAACAGACCCCTGTGTGTAATGTTCCCTTCCCTGTGTCCATGTGTTCTCATTGTTCTACACCCACCTAGGAGTGAGAACATGAAGTGTTTGATTTTCTGTTCTTGTGTCAGTTTGCTGAGAATGAAGGTTTCTAGGTTCATTCATGTCCCTACAAAGGACACAAACTCATCATTTTTGATGGCTGCATAACATTCGATGGTGTATATGTGCCACATTTAAGGGGGTACATGTGGGGGTGTACATGCCACATTTTCCCTGTCCAGTCTATCATCGATGGGCATTTGGGTTGGTTCCAGGTCTTTGCTGTTGTAAACTGGGCTGCAATGAACATTCCTGTGCATGTGTCCTTATAGTAGAGCGATTTATATTCCGTTGGATATATATCCAGTAATGGGATTGCTGGGTCAAATGGAATTTCTATTTCTAGGTCCTTGAGGAATCACCACACTGTCTTCCACAATGGTTGAACTAATTTACACTCCCACCAACAGTGTAAAAGTGTTCCTATTTCTCCACATCCTCTCCAGCATCTGTTGTCTCCAGATTTTTTAATGATCGCCACTCTAACTGGCGTGAGATGGTATCTCAATGCAGTTTTGATTTGCATTTGTCTAATGCCCAATGATGAGCATTTTTTCATATGTTTCTGTTCCTCATGTATGTCTTCTTTTGTAAAGTGTCTGTTCATATCCTTCGCTCACTTTTGAATGGGTTGTTTGTTTTCTTCTTGTAAATCTGTTTTAGTTCTTTGTAAATTCTGGATATCAGCCCTTGGTCAGATGGGTAGACTGCAAAAATCTTTTCTCATTCTGTTGGTTGCTGATTCACTCTAATGACTATTTCTTTTGCCCTGCAAAACTGTGGAGTTTGATTAGGTCCCATTTGTCTATTTTGGCTTTTGTTGTCAATGCTTTCAGTGTTTTGGTCATGAAGTGCTTGCCTACTCCTATGTCCTGAATGGTTTTGCCTAGATTTTCTTCTAGGGATTTTATGGTGTTAGGTCTTATGTTTAAGTCTTTAATCCATCTGGAGTTAATTTTAGTGTAAGGTGTCAGGAAGGGTTTCAGTTTTTGCTTTCTGCATTTGGCTAGCCAGTTTTCCTAACACCATTTATTAAACAGGAAATCCTTTCCCCATGGCTTGTTGTTGCCAGGTTGGTCAAAGATTGGATGGTTGTAGATTTGTGGTGTTGCCTCCTGTGGTGTGGCCTCTGCTCTGTTCCTTTAGTCTGTATCACTGTTTTGGTACCAGTACCATGCTGTTTTGATTACTGTAGCCTTGTAGTATAGTTTGAAGTCTGGTAGTGTGATGCCTCCTGCTTTGTTCTTTTTGCTTAGAATTGACTTGGCTATGCACGCTCTCTTTTGGTTCCATATGAAGTTTAAAGTGTTTTTTTCCAGTTCTTTGAAGAAGGTCATTGGTAGTTTGATGGGGATAGCATTGAATCTATAAATTAGTTTGGGCAGTATGTCCATTTTCACGATATTGATTCTTCCTAAGCATGAACATGGAATGTTTCTCCATCTGTTTGTATCCTCTCTTATTTCGTTGAGCAGTGGTTTGAAGCTCTCCTTAGTTGTATTTCTAGGTATTTTATTCTCTTTGTAGCGATTCTGAATGGCAGTTCATTCTTGATTTGGCTCTTTTTAAGTCTGTTATTGGTGTATAGGGATGCTTGTGATTTTGGCACGTTGATTTTGTATCCTGAGACTTCACTGAAGTTGTTTATCAGTTTCAGGAGATTTTGGCCTGAGATGATGGGGTCTTCTAGATATACAATCATGTTGTCTGCAAATAGAGACAATTTGGATTCCTCCTTTCCTATCTGAATACCGTTTATTTCTTTTTCTTGCCTGATTGCTCTGGCTAGAACTTCCAGTACTATATTGAATAGGGGTGGTGAGAGAGGGCATCCTGTCTAGTGCCAGATTTCAAATGGAATGCTTCCAGTTTTTGCCCATTCAGTATGATATTGGCTGTGGATTTGTCGTAAATAGCTTTTATTATTTTGAGATACATTACATCAATACCTAGTTTATTGAGGGTTTTTAGCATAAAGGGCTGTTGAATTTTGTCAAAGACCTTCCCTGCATCAGTTGAGATAATTATGTGGTTTTTGTCTTTGGTTCTGTTTATGCGGTGAATTATGTTTATAGACTTGTGTATGTTGAACCAGCCTTGCATCCCTGGAATGAATCCTACTTGATCATGTTCGATAAGCTTTTTGATGTGCTGTTGCAATCAGATTGCCAGTATTTTATTGAAGATTTTTTGCATCTATGTTCCTCATGGATATTGGCCTGAAGTTTTATTTTCTTGCTGAGTCTCTGCTGGGTTTTGGTATCAGGATGATGTTGGTCTCATGAAATGATTTGGGAAGGATTCCCTCTTTTTGGATTATTTGGAATCGTTTCAGAAGGAATTGTACCAGCTGCTCTTTGTATGTCTGGTAGAATTGGGCTGTGAACCCATCTGGACCTGGGCTTTTTTTGTGTGGTAGGCTCTTAATTACTGCCTCAGCTTCAGACCTTGATACTGGTCTATTCAGGGTTTCGACTTCTTCCTGATTTAGGTTTAGGAGGATGCAAGTGTCCAGAAATTTATCCATTTCATCCAGGTTTACTAGTTTATGTGCATAGAGTTGTTTATAATAATATCTGATGATAGTTTGAATTTCTGTGGAATCTGTGGTGATTTCCCCTTTATCGTTTTTTATTGCATCTATTTGATTATTCTCTTTTCTTTTTTATTAATCTGGCTAGTGGTCTGTCTATTTTGTTGATCTTTTCGAAAAACCACCTCCTGTATTTATTGATTTTTTGAAGGGTTTTTTGTGTCTCTGTCTCCTTCAGTTCTGCTCTGATCTTAGTTATTTCTTGTCTTCAGCTAGGTTTTGAGATTTTTTGATCTTGATCCTCAAGCTCTTTCAATTTTGATGACAGGGTGTCAATTTTCGATCTCTCCTTGCTTCTCATGGGGGCATTTATTGCTATATATTTTCCTCTAGAGACTGCTTTAAATGTGTCCCAGAGATTCTGGTATGTTGTGTTTTCATTCTCACTGGTTTCAAAGAACATCTTTATTTCTGCCTTCATTTCATTGTTTATCCAGTCAAGAGCCAGTTGTTCAGTTTTCATGAGGCTGTGCGGTTCTGAGTTAGTTTCTGAATTCTGAGTTCTAACTTGATTGCACTGTGGTCTGAGAGAATGTTTGTTATTATTTCCGCTCTCTTGCATTTCTGAGGAGTGATTTACTTCCAATTATGTGGTCAATTTTAGAGTAGGTGTGATGTGGTGCTGAGAAGAATGTATATTCTGTGGATTGGGGGTGGAGAGTTCTGTAAATGTCTATTAGATTTGCTTGGCTCAGGTCTGAGTTCAAGTCCTGGATATCCTTGTTAATTTTCTGTCTGGTTGATCTGTCTAATAATGACAATGGGGTGTTAAAGTCTCCCACTATTATTGTGTGGGAGTCTGTGTCTCTTTGTAACTCATTAAGAACTTGCCTTATAAATCTGGGTTCTCCTGTACAAGGTGCGTATATATTTAGGATTGTTAGCTCTTCTTGTTGCATTGATCCTTTTACCATTATGTAATGTCCTTATTTATCTATTTTGATCTTTGTTGGTTTAAAGTGTATTTTATCAGAGACAAGAATTGCAACTCCTGCTTTTTTTTCTCTCTCTCTCTATTTGCATGGTAAATCTTCCTCCATCCCTTTATTTTGAGCCTTTGTGTATCCTTGCATGTGAGATGGGTTTCCTGGATACTGCTCACCAATGGGTTTTGGCTTTTAATCCAATTTGCCAGTCTGTGTCTTTTGATTGGTGCATTTAGCCCATTTACATTTAGGGTGGGAATTTGATACTGTCATTTTGATGCTAGCTGGCTGTTTTGCCCGTTAGTTGATGCAGATTCTTCATTTTGTTGATGCTCTTTGCCATTTGGTATGTTTTTGGAGTGGCTGGTACTTGTTCCTTTCTATGTGTAGTGACTCTTTCAGGAGCTCTTGTAAAGCAGGTGGTGACAAAACCTCTGACTACTTGCTTGTTCACAAAGGATTTTATTTTTTCTTTCACTTATGAAGCTTAGTTTGGCTCGATATAAAATTCTGGGTTGAAAGTCCTTTTCTTTAAGGATGTTGAATATTGGCCTTCACTCTCTTCTGGCTTGTAGGGTTTCTGCCGAGAGATCTGCTGTGAGTCTGATGGGCTTCCCTTTGTGGGTAACCCGACCTTTCTCTCTGGCTGCCCTTAGCATTATCTTCTTCATTTCAACCCTGGTGAATCTGACGATTATGTGCCTTGGGGTTGCTCTTCTTGTGGAATATCTTTGTGGTGTTCTCTGTATTTCCTGGACTTGAACATTGGCCTGCCTTGCTAGGTTGGGTAAGTTTTCCTGAATAATATCCTGAAGAGTATTTTCCAGCTTGGATTCATTCTCTTCGTCACATTCAGGTACACCTATCAAACATAGATTAGGTCTTTTCACATAGTTCCATATTTCTTGGAGACTTTGTTCATTCCTTTTTGTACTTTTTTCTCTAATCTTGCCTTCTCATTTTATTTTGCTGAGTTGATCTTCGACCTCTGATATCCTTTCTTCTGCTTGGTCAATTCAACTATTGAAACTTGTGTATGCTTCGCGAAGTTCTCGTGTTGTGTTTTTCAGCTCCGTCAGTTCACTTATATTCCTCTCTAAGTTTTCTATTCTCATTTGCATTTTGTCAAATCTTTTTTCAGTGTTCTCCGTTTCTTTGCATTGGGTTAGAACATGTTCTTTTCGCTCACAGAAGTTTCTTATTACCCACCTTCTGAAGCCTGATTCTATCAGTTCATCACTGATTCTCCATCCAGCCTTGTTCCCTTGCTAGTGAGGAGTTGTGATCCCTTGTAGGAGGAGAGGTGTTCTGGTGTTAGGTGTGTTCATCCTTTTTGCACTGGTGTCTTCCCATCTTTGTGGATTTATCCATCTGTCATCTTTTTGTTGTTGACTTTCAGATTGGGTCTCTGAGTGGGTGTCCAGTTTGTTGATAATGAAGTTATTTCTTTCTGTTTCTAAGTTTTTTTCTAATAGTCTGGCCCCTCTGCTGTAGGACTGCTGAATTCTACTCCATGCCCTGCTTGCCTGAGGATCACCTGCAGCGGCTGTAGAACAGTAAGGCTTGCTGCCAGTTTCTTCTGCTGCTATCTTTGTCCCAGAAGGATAACCGCCAAATGTCTGTCTGAGCTCTTCTTTATGAGGTGACTCTTTAGATATACAGGGGTCAGGAAGCTGCTTGAGGAGACAGTCTGTCCTTTATCAGAGCTAAGGTGCTGAGCTGTGAGCTCTGTTGTTCATTTAGAGCTGCTGGGCAGGTACGTTTAAGTCTTCTGCAGCAGAACTTATAAACCCCTTTTTTTCCCATGTGCTCTGTCCCTGGGAGTTAAGGCTTTATTTATGAGTTTCCGTTGTGCTGCTGCCTTTTATTCAGGGCTTCCCTGCCCAGTGAAGAGGCATCCTAGTCACTGTCTGCCTGCAGAGGCTTTGCTGAGCTGCTGTGGGCTCCACCCAGCTACCATGTGAACTTCCCTGCAGTCCTGTTTACACTGATGTAGTTAGAACTGTCTTGGCAATGGCAGCACAACTCTATAATGGTGGACTCTCTCTGTAACGGTGGGCTGCCTCAGCAATGGCAGGCTACCTTCGTAGTGGTGGACTGCCTCGGTAATGGTGGATGCCCCTCCCCCCACAGAGCTGGACCTTCCCAGGTTGAGCTGTGCTTGCTGTGAAACTCTCAACCCAGAGCGTTTCCAATTGCTGTTTTTTTGTGGGGGTGGGACCAGCTGAGCCTAATCACCTGGTGATCACCTGAGGCCCTGCCTCAGAGCCTTTCTTTTAGTTGAACGGTCGACTCTCTCCCAGGTGTTCCAGTCGCCTGTTGAAAAGGCACCGGGATCTGTGTGATTTCCTGCGCAGTGACTCACTGCACAGGCTGAAACAGCAGCGCTGAGATTCGTGGTGCTTTTTTGCCTGGGAATCTCCCAGCCTGGCTCCCTGTTTCAGTCCCCTTTTTAACCAGATGAATAAGTGACTCTGACTTCCCAGAGCTCCAATCGCCAGCTAAAACAGTGCCCAGACCCGTGTAGTTTGTACAGAGAACCACTGCACTGGGGTGCCGGCAAAATAGCCACACCAGGCAACCCAGCCCCCCACTGGCCAAACCAGCCATGCTGGTGGCCCATGGGGCTGCTCCACCTGGGAATCTCCTGGTCTGTGGGCAATAAAAATCCATATGAAAATGTGAAGTCCACTCACCCTCTGCACTTTCACTGGGAGCTGCAATCCTGAGCTGCTCCTAATCGGCCATCTTGGATCCCTCCCAGATTTTTAACTATACTAGTTAGTCCTGATCTTAACAAACAAAAACCAAACAGCTAATGAATACCTCTCATCCCCTTCTCCCCTACAGAAAACACTTAGTTTTTCATTATTAGTCATACTGGGGATGGTTGTGTTTTCTGTGGAAGATTTTATAACTTGCAGTGCAAATAATGCAAATATTTCTTGTTTACTTCATGAAGTGTCACAGCTAAAAAAAGCAAGAACTGTGTGTTTTGAACCCTCTCTGGAATCCTCCCTGTCACTTAGAATTTATGGTTCTTCCATTCCTATGAATTTTATATGCTGTCAAAATCGACAAGAAATGTAAATGCACATGCCTTGAAGCACTCTTCATGTTTTTTTCTACCAGTCATTTCCAAGGGCTTCGTGAGACAAAGTCAGTAATTGCTCAGACAGACTTTAGGTGTTAAATATTTTTCAAACAAACCCAGTTAATGGCATCAGTAATAAAGAGCAGGGTAACAAAGAGATGATAGTGTTTCATTTCAACCCGACACCCTCAGGAGAACAGAGAGCACAAGGCAAACCCATAAGTGTTTGTATAGTCCCTGAGCTGTACAGACAGAGTTCACAGGAAGCGGTTAAAGATGCAGCAACTAAACCAGCATTTAACTGGGTTTCCTTGGAATCTTGCTGCTTTATGCAATTAAAAGCCTGGTGGAAGATATATCATTACAACTCAATCTTGATGTTTATAATAGAGTTCAATTTTTAAGGTAGCTCTTCTACTAGGTGTGCCTCAACAAAAATCTTACAAAGAAAACCTTTCTGCAGGAACTGTATGACTCAGCTGGTTAATCCCAGAGGTGCCATCGCTGTTCACTGCCATGTAAGCCATTAGATTCCCTGCTGTACTGAGCCTCCCCAGGGACCTTTAGGGATAGGGAGGAACCCAGGAAAGACTCTCCACTACTTTTGAAATGGAGACAAAGAATGCTGAGGCATGATTGCAGCAGACCACAGGTTCACACCGAGGACTAACTTGTATGTAAGCCAATGATGCTCCATGCTCTGAAGAAGATGAGAGAGAGAGGCTGCCAGATGCCACAGTGGAGAAACTTCTGCCTTAAATGCATATGCCAGAGACCTTCCTAGAGAGTCATTTTAGCCACTCTATTTCTGCTGTCCTTCGACTCAGCTCCTGTGCCACCTCGTAAAGGAAGCTGACACCATATCCTATAGTCAAAGACATTCTTTCCCTCTTCTGGTTTCACTTATACTGCTTACCTGTCTACACTGACCATAACACTTCTGCTTTGTGTCTTATGCAGTTGTATTCATGTCTGTCTCTCCCACTAGTTTGTATTTCCCAAAGGGAAAGGTCTAAGACTATTGTATTTTTGTATTTCCTATCTTAGGTACTCATTAATAATTATAACAAAATGAAACTTATTGAGCTATTTTTTTAACTTGAGAAAGGGTCTTCCTCTGTCATCCAGGCTGGAGTACAGTGGCACAATCATTTTTCAGTGAAGCTTCTTAACTCCTGGACACACGCCACCATGCCCAGCCAATTTTTAATTTTCTTTGTAGAGAGACAGTTTCACTGTGGTGCCCAAGCTGGTCCTGAACTCCTAGACTCGAGCAATCCTCCCACCTTGGTCTCCTAAAGTGCTGAGATTACAAGTGTGAGACACCACTCATTAGCCTTTGTGTACTTATATGCTGGGCACATTGCATATATAGTATCGTTTCTTATGATTCTCTAACATGATAGGTAAAAAGCATGGGCTTTGGAGCAAGACCACCTGTGTTCAAAGCCTTTCTCCTTCTGCAGTCTGCCAAATAACCTTGAAACAGGCAGAATCCCAGTGGTTTTCTGATTTATAGCCTCAGCTCTATTCTATCTCCATAGAAGCCCCATAGATTTAATTGAATTAGACCCATTAGCTTAAAGACCAAACTTATTCCTCTTTATCACTAAGTAATCCTAAGGCAGCCCCCATTAACTTGTGACTTAATGTATTCAGGTTTTTAGACACAAAGTGATTTTGCTAATCATATGAATAATATTAATTTTTACATTTCTTTAGTATTTTGTCATTTTTACAGTTCTTTCATGTAAATTACCTCTACTGATCTTCATACCATTCTTGTAAGGTGGGCAGGATGACTGTCCTTTTCCCCACTTTACTGAGAAGTACAATGAAGAGAAAGAAGCAAAATGACTTGAAATTTATCTCATAGCCAGACAGTGGCAGAGCTGCAACCGAATCCAAGATATAAGTTCATTGACAGGCTTCCTGCCTCTATCTTGCTTTGTTCCTCAGCAATACACACGTGTATATGCAGACTCACTAGCAGGCACCAAGAACCAGGTGCTGAGCTAGAGCTTCCATGGTTCAGGCTGTCTAGTAACCATAGTGATTGCCGCTGTCCTCGTGGCAAGTGAGATCACCCGGCACACACTTGCTCCAAGATTTGAGTTACAAGAGATGAGGCATTTTCCACTGAGGGCCATTAAGTTTGGAATTCCCTTGTCTTGGTCTGACATAACCCTAGAGTATTCATCTTCTGGGTTCCTGCAAACCATATCAAGTTGAGTTAGCCAGTCATGATTGGCAAGAAATCCTAACAGGCAGGAGGAAGGTGCTAAACTGACCTCTACATGTGAGCAATTTGCAGTTTTGTGGGTGGATTATTTTTCCCTAGGTATCCTTTAGGATAGCTACCCAGGTATACATTATTCTCATTCTTTAAAAATGCATTTATAGTTCACAGTCTGCATGCTTTTGTTTCTGTGTTCTTACATCATGTCGCAAATGATGTGATGGAGAAACCTATAGGGAAGTTTTTGTTTCTTTTGCATAAACTATTTTGCAGTAATTGATCAGCCATAGAGAAAAATATTATCTCCTGTGCACTCACAGCAAGTTCTCTGGTCACTAGAGACCAATAAACTGTGTCCCTAAAACTATTATCAGTTTGTCGGAAGAAGCTGCTATGTGAACAAAAAACATCCTTCATTAATTTCCCTTTTCGTATTTAAAAAACCTTGTCAGCATTTTCCCTTTGGGGATCTATAATTTGTCAATAGTGCATATTATTTTAGTTCTAAGGAGGAGAGATGTAGGGCAGTATGTCCTTATTAAGATCTCTCATTCATCGATCTTCATGCCAAATAAAGTAAAATGCTTCACATCTTTACTTTATTATAGCATATGTTTTTTTTTCATTTCATAGAAATATAAATAATTAGATGTGTAAACCACTTTTGAGACTAATTTGAATTCTACATCCTCCACCTCACCCTAGTCCATTTAACTGATGGAGGAAGGCTGAGAAGAAGGGTGGTCAAACTGAGTCTAGTGATCTCTTCCATTGTATCCTGCAGTGTATATCTGTTTTCTCTCCATAACTGTTATGTAAGCTTCGGAAAGCAGGGATGATCCTTGTGTGTGCCAGTTAAAACTGCCTGGCAAATGCTTGTTAACTAACATCAGCCATTGTGTCACAGTTATAAGAGCCCACATGTTAGACCTCCGTTTCATTATCTGTTCTTTTATATTCAACCTCCTGTGTAGATGTAGAAAAAGTTAAAATATGCCAAGTAGTATATGATAGAAAGGAATCTGATTAAGCTTGCCTACCATTGTTTCTTAACATCCACATTGAAGTTGGAAAATGTTTTAAGGAGAAATCTCATGGACCTAAAGTTATTTATGAATGGTTTCAATTGTCTCATATATATAGTGATTAGATTCCAGTGACACATTATTATTTTTTAAATTGTGTATTATTTCCAGCCATGGGAAAGGGAAGGATGGTAGAGTTCATGTTTAGAATAAAAGAGTAAACATCACAAGTCAGTCCGACCTCAGCTGTCATTTTATTCATTGTGGATTTTTGTGCCATGGAAGAAATTTGTTCAGGAATTATTTGCTCTGCTGTTAGTTTGTATGCATAGTAACATGCTAAATACTCACTATAAACTGTATTATAGTTTGTTTCAGTGTTGGAAGGCGTGTTGTCTAAGCTGTCAAGGTATGATGAAGGCACTTTCTTTTCATCCATTCTGTCATTCACTGTAAGTATTTGAATGAGTTCTCTTCTGTGGTCTTTTAACTGTTGTCATAGTACTTATATAGCAGTTAAAAAAATAATTCTCATAATTATCTCTTTCTTTCCCACTTAAGGTGAAAGCAGCCGCAAAATATGTTGATGTTCCAGTAAGTATTTTTTAAACTATATGTAATTCTTTAAAAAAAAATAATTACAGTTCATCATGGGTTTATTTCAAATCTTTAAACCAGTGCCATTTTCTTAGGGAGTAGTTTACTTTCCCTAAGATAGCGCTAACCTTCATAGTAAGACTTAACAAGGTTATTTCAGTGACTTTTTCTGTTGTAACTCAGAAACTCTTAAGGAGGTCATTTCATCATGAGAACATGTCACCTGAGTTGCAGAGGAAAGTTACAGCACTCTAGGATGGGATAGAAAATGCTTCACACTATTTATAGAAAAACTGCTCACTTTTCCTCCCTTTTATATGAAAACTGTAACAGGTTTCTTACAGAAGGTAAAATAACAATAAAGATGAGCCAGTTAAATAATTGGTTTTCTAAATATAAAAGTGTTATATAAATCAATAGTCACTCATTTTAACATTTAGCTTTTCATAGAATTCTTGGGAAATAACTCATAAATTTGTTCCAAAATTAAGATTCCATGAGCAGAAATCATGGAACTGACTTAGCTACAATGAGAACATTCACATGGTAAATATAACCAACAAGTTGTGCAGCATTTTTAAGCTGATCATCATACCAAATTAGTTTTTTATTTAAATTCTGATAGATGATCAAGGCCTAAGGTGTTCTGTTTAATCATTTATTTTGACATATATATCAATTTTCAAGACTTAGAGCACAATGAAAAAATTAAGATTTCAAACTAGGTGGAATATGGATTTGCTCTTTGTATCTGAAGAAGATCATATCTCTACATTGCCAGTATAAATGATAGCAGTTTTGAGTACTGGCAAGCTTTATCTATTAGTTGTAGATAGCTCTTATTTTTAGAATGTACATACCACATTTTGTCTCCGACTTTATTGCTGCTGTAGTTATAAGTGAATATTTAAATGAGAAGGCCCTGGACTTTTCTAGTTTTACATGGGGTGTTTTGGAACCAGACTTTTCATTTTGTAAGTGATTCCCAAGGAAGTCTTCACATCCTCCTCATCTTGTACCTAGAATCAAGGAATCAGTGCTAGACAATAAGTAGAAAAAAGTCACATGCGTAGAGTCCCACAAAGCAGCAGCATGAAAGGGAGAATTAAGGGGAGATTTTATATTTGATATCTCAAAAAGAAAGAGACAAATAATATTGTACACATCTGAACTTCATTGGCCTTCCTAACTTGTATCTTACAGTTTTTGTTTGATTTTGAATTGCAAATGGACTGTGACATCAAAATTATTAATATTCTTAGACATTTTGAGGTTTTTAATTGACCCTATACTAGTTTATTCTCTCCAGAGAATTTCAGCATTGAAGAAGACAGAAAATGGTTCATTTACTTTCCTTCTCGGTGCAAGTAACCCCTCCTCTAATATCTCTTACAAAGATTCATGAGGGTTCTGCTTATTTATTTCAGTAGTTACGATATCACTATATGGCAGCCTACTCTTACGTATTATAATTTGAAATTCTGTGTCTTTGTGAATTGTACCCATCAATCCTGGTTCTAATCTTTCTTCTGCCTGGTAGCTCTTTGCATACTTGATGACAGCTTTCATGTCTCTTCTTTACAGGAGGTGTAATAGCTATTCATTCACAGGCATATATCAAAAGAGGAATGAACGTTTATTTTCTAGATTAAACATTCTCAATTTATTCACTAAACCCACTAATTAAATATTTATTTAGCACATACTAAGTGCTAGGTCCTGGACATACGTGATTAAATATACATACATTTCTTGCCCTGAAATGGTTCACAATCTTAAAGACAAAACAGACAGAGAAACAGACACATCATCATGCACACTGCTATGGCAATCATACCCAGACTCTTCATCATGGCAATTACTACCCTAGAGGAATTCTAGCTTATCAGTGTCACCATTAATTCAAGTTGCCCTATAGAGCAGAACATACTATACCGTAGATGTGGTTTGACCATACCAGATTACAAAGTGATCAGTTTCTCCCCAGTTGTGAACATTCCACTTCCATTGTTGATATCTGTGAATGTTAACTTTATAAGCTATGAGGTCTTATTGGCCATTATTCTTTTTTATGCTCAAACTCCAGCAAGTATGCCTCTCTGAAGCTGCCTCTTAAGGAGAGTCTCATGAGAAAAAGAGTGCTGGCTTACCTTTCACAAAAATTAACTGAAAACAGATCCTAGACCCAGATACAATGCAGAAGAACTATACAACTTCAAGAAGAAAATATGAGATAAAATATTTATAGCCTTGGATTTGGGGATGAGTTTTTAGATACAACCCCACATAATCCATGAAAGGAAAAAAAATGGATAAATTGGATTTAAAAATTGCTAAGGGTACTCTTATTCACTGTTAAGAGAATGGAAAGATAAGCCACAAATGGGAAGAAATATTTGCAAAACACATATCTGATAAAGGACTTGAATCCAAAGTGTTCAAAGAACTCTTAATACTCAGCAATATGAAAACAAACAACAAAACTTTTTTAATAGGCCAAAGATCCAAACAGACATTGCAACAAAAAAGATATGCAGATACCAAGTAAGCTTATGAAAAAATGCTCAATATCATTTGTCATTAAGAAAATGCAAATTAAAAGAAGATACCACTGTGCTCTTATTAGAATGACAAAAATCCAAAATAAACTGACAGCAGCAAAATGTTGACAGGATAAGAGAGCAACAAGTACTCTCATTCATTGCTGGTAGGAGTCGTACAGCTACTTTGGAAAACTGTTTGCCAGTTTCTTTTTAAGCCAATTTAAAAAGGCTGCACACTGTATGATCCCATTTATATCACATGCTAGAAAAGGTAAAACTATAAAGACTATAAACGGATTAGCAGTTGCCATGAGTTCAAGGTTAGGGAAGGTTGAACTGTTCAAGTTTAGGGAATTTTTTTTTTTTTGGAGCAGAGCACCTGTTCTGTATGATATTGTAATGGTAGATACATGACACTGTGCACTTCTCAAAACCAAACTTTATAGCAAAAAAAAAAAATGAATCTGAATATGTTCAATCATTTAAAAATCAATTAAGTGATCATAGAATCCCAGGATGGAAAGTAAACTATAATAAAATAATTCTCTTGTGAATGTATGAGACAATCTCACTGAAAGAGGAGTGGGGAAAGCACTGATCTTAGTAACTTCGGAAATTAGTGGAGTCTGTAAAAATAAGGGAAAATGGAACTAATAAATAAGCATTATACTCTGGTTGATAAAATTTTTCTCCACAGTTTAACAATTCTGAAGACACCATACGTGTATATTGGAATTGAACAATTAAGTAAATGGATGGCAGTTGATAGGAGCCAGGTTTCTCACTGTTGGAGTGAGGTTAGAGGCAAGCAAAGGAAGGGGGACTAGAATGATCCTGTAATAGATCAGAGTTGGATATATCAGTGTGAACTTATCATTAGCTTAATACGGTTGGAACTGGTTACTTTCTACAATATTTTTAGACGTATGTATATGCATGTATTAATGTGTTCACATACATTTTCTTGCTCCGTTAGCTCAGAGGGCACCTGTTTCTTCATCTGTAAAATGGAGGTGTAATTACACCTGTTTTAGGCTTACTGTGCATATGTTAAGCACTTTTCCAAAGTTCCTCGAATGGAATTAGTGCACAATAAATGCTAGCTATTATCATACATTACTATTATTATTGATTAGAATAAAATCTAGTATCTACATTCTAGAAAATAATCATTTCACTTATACTGTAGTGATTGCATCTATATTATTGTGGATAAATCACATCTGTATTCTTTTAAGACAACACTTTCTTTTTACTTTCCTTCCTCCGTAGAGAGCAACCAGGCTAGTTAAGGGGATCTGGAAATAATGGCTTATGAAAAGAAAAAGGAACAGTCAGAACTGTTCCTAGAAAGATGGGGAAAAAAATCTAAGAGATAAGATAGCTCTGATCGATATGTAAATGACTCCTATTGGGAAAAAGTAACAGCCTAAGTCTGCATCAGTCAAGAAGATAGGACTAAGAACAGTGACGAAAAATGAGTAGGAGCAGAACTGAAATCAGTGTAAGGCAGAACTTTAAAAAAAATAGTTATTTACAAAAGTGACATAGTAAAAGCTGCACCACTATTTTGCCAGGTGTGATCCTGAAGATTTCTGCATTATGTGGGAAATAGAACTGGATGAATTTAAGGTTCTTTCCCACTCTGATTCTGGAATTTTGTTCTATTGTCATACCAGTTCCAGGACATTTTGGGGTTTAAGGATGTGTGTAGATGTGGAAAGTGCCTGCTTAGAATGTTCTTGTTAACATTATCTCACACACACTGCATACCAACGCTATGCTAGACACTAAGGTGAAACAGCTAAAGAGACCTGGAGGGCACAATAAAGATTACTGTGGCCAAGAAAAGACCAAAACAACGAGGAAGGAAAGAAGAAACTGTCCCTGATCATTGGCTTAATCATACTGGTGCCTGATCCTGGTGGTCAGTCCGAAGATGATGGAGATGGCTAATCTTTCTCTTACCTTCATTAGGAATTCTCTCAATTATTTTCTCTTCTTTATGATACTTGCCAGAGATTTCTCATTTTCAAAATCCTCAAAAGGTGGTTCTTACCCACCTCTGTCCTCTGCACACCTGATATGGTGTCCAGGATCTGAATTCACTTTCTGCCTTGCTCCTTTCTTGCTCTTTGATCTGTGGCTTCCATTTTCCCACCCATGCAGTGAGGATAATACTATTTAAAAGTCTTGCCATTACTTTTAATGGCAA